TAACAGGATGTGTGGTGTGTAACTGATTACACACCACACCCTCCCAAACCCTACACGCATTCTCTTTGTTTATACTCGTATTATTGTTTAGACCTTTTAATGGGAGATTCGATTTAAAAATTATTTTGTTTTATAGTTAAGTAAGGTTATTCCAAATAAATAAATACCAGCGGTAATTTCTACGGATCATAGATTTGTTTGTAACGCTTAGTTTGTAGAAGTTGCTTAGAATTGAATTCAGTATAATATAAGACGTATTGAAAACTTCCTCATGCGAGCACTAGATCCGCTCTTGATTGTTAATGCTTCATCTGGCCAATTTAAAGGTTTCCTGCACTGACAGTAGTCACCTAACTAGTTCACGTACAGGTACAATTAGCACGAATATTTGCGGAATATGAACACAATGTTAGAGGTTCTCTAACATTGAGTAGGAATGAGATAAAACTTCACATTGCCGGCCCCTATATCCCTATACAAAAGAGGTATACTATAACAGATAATTTTGCTTTGTCTTTGATAATAAATAGGTATAAGTAATTTCTGCATTATGATTAATTGTGGATCTTTCTTTGTGAATTTATTGTTCCTGAATAGTGAAATGATAATTAATAAGAATTACGTTACGGTGAAGGAAAATGTAGAGGAACCCAGTATTTGTAAGGGTAAGATTCAGAGTCGATACGTACTAAGTATCGACTCTGAATCTTACCAAAAGCATGAATTAATAAATAACGTATGAATGCCGTATGTCAAACCGTATGTTTTGAAATACGAAAGCTGCTCGAAATCTTACGCTTAGACCCAAACGGCACACCGGCGACGCGTGTCGGCTGCAAAAGACTCATCATCACCTGCTTATAACGAAGAAATTAAACGTGCAGAAATCCGAGCCACCAGCCAGCTGCCAGAACCCATAGATTGTAACGCTGATATGTATATGGTATAATTGAGTATTTCAAATCTAGCAATCTCATCAATTTGGTTCAGCAGGTAGTATTTTATGCTAAATTTATAATTTAATAATGTTGCTATTTTAATCTTATAGTCGGCGCTAACTTCTGAATCTGACCCTTCATCTGTCAACAAGACGTGAACAAGTTCAAGGTCGAAACACTCCACTTAACTCTGCAGCGCAATACAATACAATAGAACCACAATAATTATTGTTGATTCAACATTACAAGAATTAACAAGTAATGGATATCAATATTTTTGTATTTTCTGGCAAATTCATATTTTGAAGAATAAAGCAGCGGAGAGCAATATGTATATTTACGCTATAAGGCAAATCCAAAGGAATTGAAACCTAAGAAACTGAGCTAATATAAATACTCGAAACAGAACTAATATAAGCGTACGACCAACTAGGCTCCAGAAGATAAACCACTCCTTATATGGAAATTGTATTCGTTTTTACAACAAACTCCCAAGCGAAATTAGAGAATTATCACTAAATAAATTCAAATCTATCATTAAACGTTAATTAATCAATAAAGCTTTTTATACATTTGAGGGATATTTAAATGATCTTCGGATGTTTGTATGACTCAAAACTTAGTGATTAAAAACGGTAGCGGAGAGTTTTTTGCCAGTTCTTCTTGCCCGCTCTACGCCCTTGACTTGCGAACTGGTAGTAAATGTAAATTTAGAATTATTTTTACTTCATTCTGACGTCATTATAAGTGTACTTGTTTTGACAAAGTCAAAAGTTAGTTGAAACTAACTGAAGATTTGAGAGATAGACGACACTCATATTCTACAAAGTATGTAAAAGCCTATCAAGTTGGTAAAACTGAAATTAGCCCGAAACTCTTGGTATCAATCAGACGCTCGTATATTATGCTTTTATAGGCAATGTGTTCTTTTGAGCGATATTAGTGAAATTCCCCGCATTCCCGTGATCGACGTGAACGTAAATATTTGCATATTACGACATTAATTTATAGTCTTAGCCACTTGACTCTAATCATGGAATGAAAATTAGATTGTGTATTTACGCTTTAAAGTTTCCGAACCTTCATTATTTATTTAATATGATATTTACATATTTTATATCAATATAGTTAAACATACTACTTTTTAACATTAATATGCAGACGATATAGTGGCACTAATTTAGCATTTTGTAAGAAACTATCATAGATAGCGACATACTGAAGGAATATGTAGTCGAGGATTATTGATAAATAATACATCATGAAAATTATCGAAATAAAATTAGGAAAATCCAAATAAAGCAAATTCTAAATATGATTGTGATAATAAAAAAAAACAGTGTATCGAATTGTCTGGTCCATACCCAGGATAGAAAATGCTACAGTTATTTTAGCAACAAAGATTATTTCACAAATCAATATTGTATTTAGAGTATTTGCAGAATTATAAAGATCATTTCATTGATCATCGGTACTATTTTGTATATGTTAGATGAATAAATTCCAATTACTGACGGAATTATTACGCATTCATTATATATATTTCTTGTGTGCGTGTGTATGTGACTGAACTCCTCCTAAACGACTGGACCGATTTTGATGAAATTTTTTGTGTGTGTTCAAGGGGATCTGGGAATGGTTTAGATTCACAAATCAGCCCGGCAGATGGCACTGCAGTCGGTACTTTCATACTTTGCTTAATATCCTAATCGCTTTAAATATCATGCAGGACAACGTCTGTGGGGTCCACTAGTAAATTCATTAATATTCACGAGATTTGATTATGATTACTACGCGGAAATGAGCTCACCAGCAAATTTATCTAGCGACATCTAGCATCAAATACAAGAATATAATAAGAAATGTCAAGAACAGTACATAATATCTGTAGTAAAAGATAGTGTTAAATCAATTTTAAATCGTCGTCGCAACTTTTATATTTAATATTGAATTAAAGGGAAATTTTATCAATTTATTCTATAAGGACCAAATTTTCTAGTTGTATAAGGAATACTTTCCTTGAGGTTCAAAAATGGTATTCGGTTTAAACGTATAAGCGACATCTATCGGCCAATGTAGAAACTATATGAGAGTAAAAGTAAATTTAAATTAATAGTTGTAAGGTGGCGGTAATATAAATATTATTTATCTAAACTTTACTTTCTTTGAATCATACCTCAATGCCATACCATAAGCCACCTCAAAGGCTGGTGTCCATGGGCTGCAATGACTGCCCTTTTTGGGCGTCCCGCAGACTCGTTTACCTGAAGACCGTATCGTATAAAATAAAATAATATATATAAGTCTGCCTCATCCATCATTGATCTCAAGCTTCACCTTAAGAAATATGCGGAATACTTGGAGGGAATCATCTTTAATATACATATATGTATTTGCAATGTATATTTTTCTGTACGTGATGGATATAGTCTAAGATCCCGCTGCATGATTGGTGTGCTCATCGACTTTTTGTTTAAAACCAAATTATTATGTTTATTTATAATTAAGAGAATATATATTTACTAGGGTGCCTATCAAAATTTGGCCGACATTATTTTTAATTGATTTTTGGTAAAAAATTTTGTTTATTTATTTTTTAAATAAAATAACGTCTAAATCACGGTAATTAATATGAAGATTCTAAAAAATCACGGTTGCCGTTGCGCACCTGGCCGCACCTCTTTGCAGCCAGGTGTAAACAGGTATGATTTCGATAAATTTATACGTTTATAACCTATTTTTATTAATTATATGTCAAATTGAAGCTAATTTTTTTCTATTAATTATCATATAAAGTTGCTTAGTTAAATCTGGCCGCAAATAAGGGTTACTGGCTGTTAAAGATAATAAATATTTAAGGAAGAGTGAAAGAGAGTTAGCGCGTAACATCATTTGTCAGACGAGGACAGCGATTGTCGGCTGTGCGACGCTTTTAAGCCATTGCGCATGCGTCGAACGTTAGTGTTCTCAACCACCGGGGAGTAATAGAGACGACTTATAATAAATACTCCAAAAAATATGTAATTTTTTCAAAATGACAAATTTTCAAAATATAAAATGTTGTTTATTACGAACTCCAAAACAGCGTGGTTTATGTTAGAATAAAAATGCTGCATCTGTTCAGTTGAGAACACTAACATTCGACGCATGCGCAATGGCTTAAAAGCGTCGCATAGCCGGCATTCGCTGTCCTCGTCTGACAAATGATGTTACGCGCTAACTTTCTTTCACTCTACCTTAAATTACGCGCTAACTCTCTTTCACTCTACCTTAAATATTTATTATCTTTAACAGCCAGAAACCCTTATTTGCGGCCAGATTTCATTAAGCAACTTTATATGATAATTAATAGAAAAAAATTTGCTTCAATTTGACATATAATTAATAAAAATAGGTTATAAACGTATAAATTTATCGAAATCATACCTGTTTACACCTGGCTGCAAAGAGGTGCGGCCAGGTGCGCAACGGCAACCGTGATTTTTTAGAATCTTCATATTAATTACCGTGATGTAGACGTTATTTTATTAAAAAATAAATAAACGAAAATTTTTACCAAAAATCAATTAAAAATAATTTAATTAAAAATAATGGCTGCCAAATTTTGATAGGCACCCTAGTAAATATATATTCTCTTAATTATTATAAATAAACATAAAAATTTGGTTTTAAACAAAAAGTCGATGAGCACACCAATCCTGCAGCGGGATCTTGTACTAATATAAAAACTGAATATTTCAAAATCTCGGAGGGATTTCAAATGAGTCTGGAACTAATCTGGGTTAAAAGAATATAAAAGAATTCATATTTTAGTTTTTTATTAACATTTATGTTTTAAATATGTACATAATTTTAGGCAAATTTTTACTCAACACTCCATAACATAGCTTTTTGTACATTGTAATTAACAAAACTTTACATTAGTTAATACAATACTTTATAAAAAATATGTTAATAATGGTTTTGAAACGGCATCTAGCGTAGTAAATATTTTTAGATAAAATTTAATGTAGTTTGATAAATACTTATTTTTATACAAACTTATAACAACTAATTTACAAATCACAAAACAATATTTCTATTAACTTTGTTTGATAAAAATGTGTATTTAGTACAATGATATTTTATTTCTCCTAGAGTGGTTGCTTCAACGACCTCTTCACTTGGAGGATCTGAAAATAATAAAGACATAATTAATACAGATTCTAAAGCCATAAAGAATCACATTTAAAAGCAGTTCGATTTCTCGGCAAATAAACATTTTTTTAATACATCTATCTTTTTAGTTATTGGAATTTGGAATGTGAATAATTAGTATCAATAACGAATGTGATCGACACGAATATTGTATGAAAATGGTACTAGCTGTTAAAAAATCCGCGGCCGGGCTAAATAAAGAGGAAAGTTTTATAAGTTACACGCGCGAAATGAATGTTTGCTAAATTTAAGTCAATTAAAATTGTTTACCTCGAGTTATGGAATAAATATGTGACCTTTGACACTATTTTAAACTCTAGTGATTGCTTTACTATGAATTTAAAAACCTCTCATACATTTCTCTCTAGGCAAACAAGTATTTCATGTACCTTTAACTTACCAATATTATTCCATACCGTTGGAGGGAAGATGGGCAATTGTGAAAACACGTAGACATATCTGCAATCCCTTTTGAGTCCTTGTTTAATAGCGCGTTCGGTTTTTCTCAGCTCTAAACGATACCAGCTCGCAGATTTTCTGAAAATATATTATTGACTTCTTGATATAATATATCTATAATATAGGTAATTCTAGAATTATAGTATTGTCTTTGATTTACATTACCTTTACACATTTAAAGAAAAAACTGTTTAACCGGATTGAAGTTATGTATTATTATAAATTTACAACTATTTAATATAATTTTAAATTTATCCGACGTTTCGCGTGCTTTACAGCGTACGTGGTCACCGTTCGGTTCAATCCGGTTAAACAGTTTTTTCTTTAAATTCTAGAATTGCTCTTTCTTATAGTAGGAAAAACATACTAAAAACTTGTAAGTTACAGGAATTTATAAAAAACCTGTGACGTGTGAGAAATTATCTGTCCCTTTTCCTTCTAGTGCCTTAGAAAACGACTATCAGCCTAGTATAATGCTATATAAAGCTGATTCGTTCGTTATATTATTATTATTATGTATGCATTCAACAGAGACACAAATAGATTCGAACTCTTTCTAAGGGTGTACGGTAGGGTATTTAAAGTTAAGACTTAGCGTTAAGTATGACTTCTGTATGACGCAATATCCAATACGTTTTTAAATCCTACGAGTCAGGTTTCTGAATCTTAGGGTTGGTCTCGCCCTAACGCCGCGTTTCCATTATGCAAGTACTTGCATGCATGTATGACGTCGCACTTGGGTGCATGCAAGTGATTTGAATAGGAAACACGATTTTGTGCAACTTGCAGCTTTTATATAAATATTATTGTTTTCTCTGTATCCCACTTAGAACTCATTACTCATTACAAGGTAATCCTGCACACGTCCCTCTATAGACGAGCGCATGCGCTTGCGCTTCCAATTTGCGTGCAAATGACCTGACTTGAGTGTTGTGGGTACAAGTTTAAACCTAATTGCATGCAAGTTGCAACTTGTTAACATATGGCTGTATTAATAAATGGTGTATTAAAAAATGAAGTTGAATTTGAATTAATGAACAGTACTTACTTCAAATGGTCTTGCACGATGTTATTAGCTATGGGCACGTTTATTTTAACCACTGGATCATTCATAAGCTGGCCTGCAGATTTCACCGGAGATTTATCTGACACATACAACTCCAATAACCGGGATGCCATGGTCTTTAATTGTGCTAAAAATATATATAAGAGTAGTAAGTATAAGAAAGTTTCTTGCCTCCAATGCCTCAGTAACCGAATTTTGTCCCATAAATGATTTTTTTTATTTTTATTTATGACGAACTCTATAATGGCGTCGTATATTACAGGCTTTCTAAGATTTGTGTAGGTATAGGGAATTATTGTATCTCCTGCTTATGGTAAATATAGATGGAACTGAGGTCAGTGTTAATGACCTTATCGATCTGTAAGAATAATGTTTCAGGAAATCCCTAAAAATATTTTTTTTAATCGGATAAACATTTAGAAAGATTACTGCAACTTAACAACAGTATGTTATAGTTCAAAAATTTAATATTATGTGTAATAATGCTTTATTTTGAAAGACATTTTATTTTATTAAGTCACAGACATTTAAAGCTGGTTTAATTTCAGTAAATTAAGTTTTAATTAAATTATGACACTAAGACATACAAAATAATATAAAACGTCCAATAATTTCGTCATTATCGTAGAACAGTCGGATTTGAAAAAAATCCAAAATCCACTTTTTATCATATTTGGATACAACATTGACTAAATATTACGGTTACATAAAAAAATCCATGTGTTTTAAATTTCAAATTAATCAGTCGGTAAAGTGACGGATTTGATAGAAACATGTGATTTTTCTAGAAAACTGTGTAATTTAATGTTATTATTTTTGTTTGCTTGTATACCAATTTTCATAATAACAGAATATAGAATTAAAATCGTTAGGACAAAAACTAACATGATTATATTATTTTGAAATGGCTGCCCTGCAAAGTTTACTATTCGTCACTATTCTACGACTATGACGATTTATTGTAAAAAAAAAGATCTTACCAAAGTCAGCTCGCAGACAGGATTCAGCTCTAAATAAATGCTCCAAACATACATGTACTTGAGAATATCTCATTAAGAGATTTTTCCAGGGACTAATGTCGATTTCATCTGGGATTAAGGGTATCTGAAATTATATACATTTAGGGTAAGATTCAGTCTCCAGCCTTAGCGCTAACTATGGCTCTTTTACAACGGTGGTATGATTGCTGTACAAAAGCGGATCTAAAATTCGAATCACACATTCATAGGTTTTTTTTAAGAATAAGACTGTTTAGTGTTTAGTTTGTATGTACTAGTGTTGGCCTATTTAGTGGCTTCAGTGTGAGACTGTCATCCCAAAGGTCGTAGATCCAAATCCCGGCTGTGTACCAATGGACTTTCTGTCTATGTATGTAACACTCGCTGGTACGATGAAAGAAAACATCGTCAAGAAACTGGCATGCTGACTGAAGATTTGCCGGCGTGTGTCACGCACAAAAGCTGAAATCCTACTAGCAATTGTAAAAACAAATGATGACGAAACGGATACAGAACTCTCAGACCAGAACCAAAAGTTTTTAGTGCAACTGGTATTTATACTATGTATTATTAAATAAATATAGTTTATGAGTATGTGAAAAAGCGTGGGATGCTCGATAGATAAAAAATATGGCACAGAGCGCCCCACGCTTTTTCACAATAATACCAGTATTTTTTGTTCATTACCATTTTCAGCCTAAATTAGGAATTATTTTTCACTTTTTAGTTTGATGTGCTTTAAAAGCGTGTTTTTTAGTTTTTTTAAACTATATTTATTTTCCACTTTTTAGTCCTAGCAGCAATACGTGTTGTCTCAATTTAAACGTATTGCTTTGTGGACTTAAAAAAAATTTCATTGTTTTTTCGAGATAAACCTATGAAATTATTATATTGTCGCTGATTCTTTATAAGTGTACAAAGTTTGAATTAAATCTGTCCGTTTAAAGTGGATCAAAATCGAGTCCGAAGGAGTCGGTTACATACATACATACAGGTGAAGCTAATATAAAGCGTGTAAAAATTCTGATACAGCATAACTCTAGAGAGACCCAGGGTAACATCATGAACCACTTGATCCTTGCGTAAGTTCGAATCTGCTTGTGTCTCTGTTTAATGCGTACATAACGAAAGAGATAACTTTGTATGCTTCATGCTGCAAAATCCAGGGAGGTCGAAGCTGGTGGTCTCATTTTAATATTTATGAAGGAAAAGAGACAGATATTTTATTAAAAGGTAAAATTCGAAATCATTGCTGTGTGTTTGCTATAGCTAAAGATACATCTGTATATGTGCAAAACTATGGTAAATCTAAATTGATTTTTAATTTTTATTTTATTATAAATATAGCCTTACTCGATATATAATGTAGTTTTTTTATAGGTGACACGTGTTTGTAAGCGGATCAGTAGTTTCAGGCTGATGATTAAAAAAAAAATTAGAAAAAAACTTTCCTATAACAATTACCTCCTGGCCCATGCACAAACCTTGCCCGAGCCAAAAAAAAAGAAGAACAATTACCTCATTCGCATCTTTCTTCTCACTCACAAGACCATGTTTCTTCAACGACGCGAAGTCATCAACCGTTAAATCGTTATTATCTTCCACACAGAAGGACTCTGAATCGAGTCGTATGGAGTTTTCGGTTGTGCCATAATTTTCAAAAGGGTTCATCGTGAAGTCACCTCCCATAGTCATATCTTGTATCGTTTGATTGATCTGTTCTATTGTTTCTTTAGACCTTAAAAAAAAGTAAAGTACTATAAGAATATGTGCAAAGTATACACAAAAATTTTAATTCTATAAAGAAAATGGTAAAACCCATTAGGGGTAACGCGCCAATAAATGTATTTATAAAGAACACACATAATGGTAGGGGAGCCCACGATGCTAAATGGGGATTTACTCGAGCGTCGTAGAGACCTATTGGGATACAAAGCTTAGATAAAAAGAAGAAAAAAATGTTATATGATAAATTCCTTTTCATCGGTGGGGAAGCGGCTATAGATAGTTAAATATGTAAAAAAAACTGTTGCATGGACATCCTCGAGCGCGTCAGATATTGATAGCATCTATGCCCTACGTATTTTTAATAATGTACGTATGTTAATCTGATCGTTTGCATGATGCGGGTGGTTGTATTTAAGGGTTGAAAATTAAAAAAAAAAAAATTTATCGAGCGCGTCAGATTTTCTAAGGGAGTGTTAAGTGCACCAAAAAAATCTCTCATTCACTAATCTGACGATTTCGATGGGACGCAAACCCACAGCCATTTTCTTAATTTGCAAAAAAAAATCGCAATTTTGAAATACTCAAGCGCGTCAGATTAAGATATATGTGGTTCATCTTTATGTTCTAAACGTACTGTCTCATAATCTGACGATTATCTAGAGGGATTCGCCTGATCTGACAAAAAAAAATAGAAAAACGGTTCACCTAAAGGGCCATCCCTGCAACTTCCCGCTAATTCCATTCCTGGGCGCTTAAAATTGATATTTTGAGCTCGCTGAGTTCAAAGAAATAACATTTCTATGCATTTGAGCTCTCCCAGCTCGAAAGTCTGATAGAAGTTTCATAGAACACTATTTTTGGAATTTTCAAACCGCAATAACTTTTGAATGGATCAAGCAATTTTCACGCGGTTGGCGGCATTCGACGCAGTTTTATCATTCTCATAAGTAATTTTGCAATTTTAATTGATCGAACCACAAATTTCGGGTAATCCCGAAAAAACACTTTTTCGGGTTTCTTTCATGTACGATATCTCTCGAACGAATCAACCGCTTTTGACCAGCTTGGTGGCGATCGACGTGGTTTTTCAAGCTCAAAGGCGGATTAGTTTTTGAAGTTGATCGATAAAGAAACCACTTAAAAAAAAATATTTCTTATTTTTTTAAGATTTTTCAAAATTTCTCAAAATCTATCGGTCCGAATCGGTTCAAATTCACAGGAAATGTAATTTTGAGGGAAATATTTTGAACGCCGTTTAGTAGATTCCGATCGGTTTAAGGAAATGTAGGCATCACGCAGCTGCACGCATTTAACTTTATCGACGAATTTTTGTTATTTCGGCTTGCGGAAATCGTCAGATTATATATTTTTCATTATTCTGGAATTATTTCCTTCAAAATAAAAGAAAAATTAGCTACGCTCGAGAATGTCGAGATGACGTTTTTTTACAACTTTGTTGCCCTCCCCTTTTTTCCGTCACTCTCAAATTGTCAGATTAGTGGAATATACACTTTTAGGATGTAATTAACTCACCCTACCTTAATCTGACGCGCTCGGGAATTTCTGATGGTCAATTTTTTTTACTAATCTGATCCTGTCTCCTTCACGCGCGGCCTTATATATGGGCCTCATATTTTGTGGAGGTACTTAACCGGGTACAAGGTATCCCCCTATATAGTAATCTGCCGCGCTTTAGTAAATCCCGAAATCCCTCTTGGGCTCCCCTACGCATAAGACATAACATAATTTTGATAAATTGTATGTATAGTTATTAAAAAGGAATGAAACGTCATTTATCGATTGTCTATAATCTGTGCGTAACGAGACCCGGCGTACAAAAATGTTATACTTTTATTTTTTTATAATAAGTATTAGGATGCTTACTATCCAACAATAATGACGAAGTATTGTCATGTTTCATTTAGATATTTAAAGTAAATTTTATTATTAACTAGATGATCCGGCGAACTTCGTGTCACCTACATATTATATTTGTGTCAAAACTTAATACAATTTTTTTTAAACAGACTAAAGAGTTTAATGTCCGATACATTTTACTACAGCCCTGCGATTCTATAACTCACTTTTCGAACTCACACAGCGGTTTTCGCATCGGCGGTCGCTCTCAAATCAGTCGTGAAGCAGTCATTTTATGATTTGGCATTCTGATAAACAATAAACTTCAAGCTCCCACCTTTTCTGTGTTCAAAAGTGAGTTACAGAATCGCAGGGCAGCTATGAATCACACATTTCTGAAGGCATTATATGTTACAACCAAGAGACAATTTTTTATTTCTAAAAAGACATGAGACATCAAATATTTTCCAGCTAGGAACAGTCTGTATTGAAAAGTTCAATTGTCATTATTAGTATTTTTCTTAACTTATAATTCATGTTTCCCTCCAATTAAACCTTCCCAGAATTTTCACAAATACTTCAAAATCATAATTAGCCATATTGGTCCAGCCGTTTTCGATTTCGATTTCGTTTTAGCGGGTCAAACGAACAGCAATTCATTTATATATATATTGTCAATGTCAATAGTAAAGTTCTAAAAAATTCTAATGTAACTTCAAAAGCAATTCTAATACCGCGACAGATGTTAGAAGAACGCGGAATTTGGATTTTATAGTTGAATGACAACATAATTAATGGAATCTTTTTTACCTGGCATCAGTATTCCAGACCCCGGCCAAGAAGAAAGAATGCTCTAGAAGCGACATTATCCTGGTATATTCCCATGTAGTCTTCTCAAAGCCTACTTGGGCCACCAAAGATAACGCTTGAGGGGGACTTGAGCGGAGATTTTTAAGTACTTTTGACGTTTGAGAGTGACCTCTTGATAATTTTAATACTAGTTTTGATAGTATTGAGGTGTTGTTTACGTCAATCTGAAATTAATGGTTTAAAAAGGTAAAGTATCTTAATATATATATTTCTTGTGTGCGTGTGTATGTGACTGAACTCCTCCTAAACGACTGGACCGATTTTGATGAAATTTTTTGTGTGTGTTCAAGGGGATCTGGGAATGGTTTAGATTCACAAATCAGCCCGGCAGATGGCACTGCAGTCGGTACTTTCATACTTTGCTTAATATCCAAATCGCTTTAAATATCATGCAGGACAACGTCTGTGGGGTCCACTAGTATACGATAAAAAATTACGTGTAAAACAAAGTATAAAGAGTTGACTCCTTTTTTTATAGAATAGGGGGCTAACGGGCAGAAGGCTCATCTGATGTTAAGTGACACCGCCGCCCATGGGCACCCAATGCCAGAGATCTTATACAACAAACTCTTTTCGAAGGTTGGAAATCATCGTGGGAACTTAAATTGTGGATGTCGCGTTTCTGAACAACGATTAGATGCTTTGACCATTATGAAAAAGTAAAGTAGAAAAATTTAACCAACTCTAAAATACGAATAATTGTTAGTTACATGTACAAGAAATGAGTGGATTGCCATCGCTAAAACTATTAAAGCGATTTTGATGGAACTTGGACTGTTCCCTAAGTTGGAATTTGTTGTTGGATTCTCAGACGCAGATTCCCAGAAATTTTTGGACATATTTACGAAAATTAGCATACTTGGTTAAAAATCGTCAAAGAAACATAAATACATGTAATATTGTATTGGGTCTTGACTCATAGTGGGTTATAGCTCTATTAGATTATCATTATTGTAATAAGAGGTACAGAAATCATCACTAAAAAGATAGTTTAAACAGCAATTTTATTAAAAAAAATATTTTCTGAAAAAAAAACACTTACAAATGGACGTATTTTTCCCGTCGAAACAAAGGAAAGTGCTTTTAAGAGAAGAGTTATCAGTTCTTCAGCTGTCTCACATTCTGAAAAGAGGAATTTTAAAAATTACAAATATCTTCTTCCCTTTACCAAATTATATTTAAAATAATTACAAAACATGTGTATATAAAGTTGGAAATATGTTTAGATTAAAAACGCGCTAAACTTGTATGTGTAAAGCATGATTATCTCAGCCAAACACTGGGCTGAGGAAGCAAAAACTTTTACTTCACGTGTGACATGTGTTGTCCGCCATTACTTACATATTCAAACTCCAACAAAAGAACAAAGTCAATGTGTATTACCCACTACATTAAACCAAAATTTTTCCACTTATTTAAATTATTTTTTTTTATCAAGGCTCTCAAACATGTTATGTTTAAAATGAGGACAATCAAACATTTATAAAAATATAGCAGCAGCATTAACCAGATCTATGCAACTTCTTCACAATCAAGTAGCCAGCAATATCTCAGCACACAACTCCCAAGGTGACTTTTTCTTTTATAATAATAATTAAATTACAATAAAACTATCAAACGGATATAAACCCGAATTTAATACATTATTAACGTAACTCGCTGTTATATAGTTTGTGGTCAGTGTGACCAACTCCTATCTCTGATAACGATTGCCGAAAAACACCTTTATATCCATTACAGACATGTTAAATAATGATAAATTAATATTAGAGATAAGGTATTCTATTTTTAATTTATAGTATTGAGCATAAAGTATTAACTCACCTCTTAAAACATCCCACAGTTTGTAAGTGAAGTCATTACTAGAACCCTTTTTATTTAAATCGTTCATACATTGTTTGAGGGTAGTCGTATCTTCTGTGACACAAAGACAGCCACCTGCAGGACATTCCGCAGTATATGTATATATTTCTGTTTCTTTCAGTAGATCTGTGAGGCGTTTTTCGTTGTTATAGCGTCTCATACCGGGGATGAGGTTTCTGTAAACATTCCAATATAAATATTCGTTAATATTATATTTTTACTTACCCTACCTTTTTAGTAGCTATGTACCAACAATAATGGAACATTTTGCTATGCTACCCCATAGAGACTGTTCGCTTTTCCGGCATATAAACTGGTTTTACGTTTTTCCAATTTTTCTCTTCACAACCTTCCTCAGACTTCAAGGAATAAATTTAAAAAATACTCTAATTAGTCCAGCAGTCTTCTAGTTTTGAGCTTAGCAAAATTTTTATATACAGATTGTCATATGTTTACGATCTTAGGATTGGTACATATTACAGACAAAATATATAACTCACTAGCTGTGTTGAGGCATCACAGAATTTAAAAAAAAAGGTTCAGTCATTTTATGGATTACAAGCAAATGAAGTATTTCAAAGTTCATAGTATAGATGATATTCTGCTCTAAATGTTTCTTAAAAAATTAAGGGCTTTTGTTTTGTTTTATGCAAACTGGTTAACAAATGTGTCAAATGTAAAATAATTTAGTGTTTATTTTGCGAAAGCCTTTTCTAATTAATTAAAACAAGAAAACTTTTTATTGATTTTAATTCAATAACTAAAATTATATAGTTTCTGTATTAAAGTCAGTCTTTGCTACTAACGAATCTCAAAAATAGCATAATTCTTTTCATTCTATGTTCGTAGCAAATTGAGTACCTTATAACAGCTTTTTCGAGATTGATATTGCCTCCTGATGCTGTCATTTCTACAAGAAGGTCATTTATATGGTATAATGCACAGACAGACTTCCACACTCCATTGCAAGGACTTGCCAAGTGACCAACGGTTATTTCTTGTTCCTGAAAATATTAATAAAATTAAAATATTATGGCAGCCTAAAACAAAAACATAATATACCAAATATTTATCCATAACATTAGTATAAATATATTAAGTATAAAATTATTTCAATTTCTAGAAGATCTTATGTTTCACTTAAGCCAAATAAGTGAACCAGACAGAGTAATTTTAGAACTGTCCAGGTTGATCATTAAGCAAATGTTACCCACAATTGGCGAAACACTACCACATATTGAAAAAATCTACACAGTACTTACTAGATTAATTTTACAGCTAATAAATGGTGTTAGTAGTGTCTTAGCATTCCATTCACAATGCAATTCTGTTAGACCTCCGTGGGGTGTGTTGAGTTGTTCATCTATATTAAGACCATTATAGGACGTACCAGCCACTGCATACTTGCAATCCACAAGTACATTTACCTGAAATTGTTACATTTCAGCATGAAATAACCTCTCCTTAAGATTTTATGATATACACTATACAGGTTTAAAAATCTGCAGTTTAAATATGTGTATATCAGAGTATGTGTTTATAATTGAATGTTATCCAAGCCAAAGAACATAAATTATTTGAAGACATTTGAAATTTACAGCAAAGACCTGGCAGTTATAACAGTCCCTAAATATTAGTCGAGAGTTTAAAACTCAAAAGATTCTTGCTGGTGCAAAGAACTAAGGTCTGAAAAGCTCTCAAGGATTTCTGAAGATCTTATAGTTCCAAAACTGGAAGAATTATAAGGGGTTGAACAAAAATTGAGACAAGGGTACCTTCATGCAGAATATAGAAATAACTTACTAAATCTTCATCCATATGTTCCTGATCAGCAAAACCCTTTATAAGATTATCCACATCTACTTCTTCCAATGCATAACAGCCTTCATAATTGACTATACCTCTAGCAAATTCATCTTTGTTTGACTGTATAGTTAGTAATAAGGGTTTGCCATCAGAATTTGGATTGCACAGAATCCACTGAGGTACTGATTCTTCTTTGGATAAGGTTGCTTGAGTTTGTGTATAAGAGTTTGCTAAATCTCTGCAAAATTTGAAATTCAAAAATTTATTTTGAGTTTTTTTTATGCAAATTGATAACACAAGAAGGATTGTAAGATGATTCTTATTGTAATATTTTATATTTCCTTAGTAGAGTAGTAATTTAAAATATTATGTATTTATTATTATATCTATAAAAATAATTTTCAATTTGGAAAAATTCTTGATTCCTTAAATATACCTTGCACTTTCTAAATCAATTGGTGCATGAAGTAACTCTTCTTTTCTCCACAGTTGTGATTCTTCAGAAAACATTGTGTCATCTAATGTTGTGTGTAAACTCAAATCTAGTTTTAATGGAGAGCCAGTTAGATCCAACTCATCTGAAATAATTTGAGCCTTATTTTAATCTATGTTTAGTTATTTCAGAATTAATTAGAAAGTACTTATAATGACTCAGTATTTTTTAAATTATCCTGATTATCAGGCTTAAATGCTAACAATAGTAGAGAATAGTGACCTTGCTCACAAATAACAAAAATATTACTATAATTATGAAATTATATTTATTTCTATAATATAATTCAAATCAACAATGTATTATATTATGTGATAGCACGGCCTAGACATTACTTGTCTCACAATTAATGTAGTGTATTATTTCTAAGATTTCAGAGAGAATATAAAGTAAAATAAGGTTAGCTAAATGTAATGGATAAGATATATGAAGAGTATTTTTACTCACCTTCTTTGTTTTTGTAACTATTTTTGTTAATATCTGAGGACACGTTTTGTTTAGCCTAAAAAAATTAAGTTTTGCTTATTATCGAAATCTAAAATATATACTTAGCTTCAAGAATCAAGTAAACACAACCTTACATTTGCGTATACCATTACAACATCATTGCTACTTTTTGTGTAAATTGATACATAACTAGGGCTTATCTGTGTTTGAATACACAATTTAGAACATTCATCCGGCTGTTTAGAAATAGAAAAACAATCCATTATGTAAACTAAAGAATTCTGTTTTTAAATTATTAGTTAATACAAATCAATTCTGAATTCAAACTTTGAAAGTTTGAATTTTACTGGCCAAATTTAAATGTTTAAAATTAAACGATGTGAACATCATCATAATGCTAATGTCATTGAGCCATCTGTCAAAAAATTATGAGAACTGACTTATTAATTAATAATAAATTCTTCAAAATAATAATAATAATAACGATTACATTAATAATTGTATCATACATAATATTTATTTTAAGTTCAGCTAATTAAACCGTTAATTTTTTGCAAAGATGAAAGCTGCCATTACACGGCTTCCCATGTGGTGCTAGATGGCGTTTAACACAACACTTATTTTCCAAAATTGGTGATAGATAGAGTATCGTTTTTTTACAAAAACGTGTAATTTTGTAATAACAGATTATTCAATTGTTTTATCATAATATTGTATAAAAATTACATTTATAAGTATGTAAATGTGCATGGACATTAATATTCTACCCAACAAAATAAATTTAGTCTTCTCCATCTTGATAGGGTGAGTTAAGGTACACAAAATGGAATTATCACGTATAGAAGGGAATTAAATGAATTAAAAAGATCTATGTAATATACCTAATCAGTTCGTATTAAGGTACATAAGTACCTACAACATCTCCTCACCAAACTTACTTATCTTTGTAAAATTGTATGAGATTTTAAATTAATTAGCTTGGATTCTGTAACTGTATCGATACATTTGATGATTAAACATTTGCATATTTTAACCTTGCCTTCGTTATCGAGAAACGCTAACATCAGATTCGTTTGAGCATAAAAACCTTAACTGAAGTAATATAGGATTTATTTATTAGTCGTTTTACAGGTATCGCAGACAGTTACCGCAAAAGCAGGGTTGGCATGATGAAAAGTAGATTTATTTAATTATACTAAAATATTTTTATATAAGCAAAATGGTCTTATAGGTCCTCAATTAAGATGCTTGTATTTTTCAACAACGTAGCAGGCATGCATTATTTTGCTTAATATTTGATAATTTAACAAGTAAAGAATAACTCATAATATCGGGTTAAGTGTTAAATTCTTGTTAGACTATTTGAATGCAAAGCTTTACCGAAAATAGAACAAAAAGTTATAAAATTTAAAATTAACTTTAGCCACAGATTAGCACTGGCCTGGATCACAGCGTTTCCAGCCAGCGCTTCTTTGACAAGGATCGGTTGCTCCCTGATTTGATTGTAATAATTATGATATTGTTTATCTGTTAATAATAGCATTATTGTAATTGAATTAATTAATTAATTGTGATTTTTAAATAATATTAAGGATATGAGGATTTATTTAATAATACTTATCTAATGTTTTAGTTCCGGTTTTCACATATTTTATAATCTAAGATTTGTGACCTATTCCTAATACTAAATTTTCAGTACGAACTTTTAATTCTCATTTGAATATGTAAATACATCCCTGTTAGGTATATAATCAGATTAATTAAAACGATTCTTGATCAAGTGGGTGGGATGAGTATCAGAGCGTGACTATCGTCGTTCAAAATCGGATTTCCTAGATAAATATGTGATAACATTAATTCCTTTTAATCTGTGAGTATCCTATGACGTGTGCCAATTCAGTATGACGTAACATGTCGACTTATGAAATAACATGACGTAATCATTTTGACAAGTTTTGGTCCTAATTATAGACTAAAAATAAGTTTATAATTGCCATTAGCGATTATTAATTAAAAACGATTATTTACTAGGCTATTTTTTTTCTCATGAATAATTAAATTTAAACGTATTGTAAAACGAAATGTGCGTGTGAGTTCGAAGCGCTACTATGAGAGTCTACTTTCTAAAATTTTACTATCTAAAGCCCAATTAACACTTACTTATATGGTGTTGGAATGTATCACAATAAAACTAGCATCTGGAAGAATGTGTGTGAAGATAAAATCTTATCCTTAGGAGGATAATAAATTCTGTCTTGTGTCTGAATCTTAAGATCCAACAACAAAAAAGCAAATGTGGCACGCCTGCCTATATTATGACATACCATCATAGGTGTGTACTCAATTTAGGAAACTAAAATTTAGATATAATATAACTTAGGCTATTACAAATATTATAAAAAGCAATATTTGTTTATCAAAACAATTTCGTTTCATACGGAATATTGAAACATCATTTTCAAGCAAATGAAATCGCGAGGCTCGAGTATATGTCAAAATAGCCAATGAGTAATGGGATTTGTCCGTTCGGAAACTCATAATGAGTTTTGTAAAATGCCACATCGAATTTGAAAGTACATGTCACTATTTGCATTTTATGGAAATAACGGATGACAAGTAATTTTTATGACAATTGGAACACAAAGTTTTGAAGTTCGTTGACCCTGCTCATGATGGCTGATTTGAAATCAGCATACTTTTGTACTTGTTTAAGGCATGTACAATTGTACACAAACGAGTTGATCTCGTCTGGTTTACGTAATATTATGTCGAAGGGTGGGTCAAATCCATAATATTTCGTATTTGTAACTTATATTAGCTGTTTTAATCGAATTTCTTGTTTTTTTTCAGATCCTGTATATGTATATTATAATTTATCTCGTATCTATTATTTAGGTTAAATAATAAATAAAATAAATCAGTGGCGCTACAACCTTTTTAAGTCTGGGCCTCAGATTTCTGGCCTGAATCTGTTTAGAGGGTTTCTGTGTCTGACACACGCCGTAGACTTTTTTCGGGTCTAAAGTAAGCTCGGTTTCCTCAAAATGTTTTTCTTCACCTTTCGAGCAAAAAAAAAGTAAGTTCATTGTTGCACAGCCGGGGATCGAACCTACGACCTCAGGGATGAAAGTCGCACGCTGAAGCCACTAGGCCAAATCTGCTCTATACTGCTACTACTCAACATAACATTATTTAGGTTATAATATTACAATAAATTAGCAAATGAGCTATTAACTATTAGAGCCAATTGTGCCGCATGTAGATGGCACCAACCACAATTAATTTAATAAAGAATGGGTTGTATTCCTTTAAGTTATGTTCATCAAAATTATAAGTCAAAAATTAAATAGCTTATAAAAAATTTAGTGTATGTTTATCGGACAACACAAAATTTTACAATAATTTCTATTAAATTATAAAACTAGCCCAACGGTTCATTTAATATTGCAAAAGTGCACTTCAAACTATAAATAAAAAAAAATCTTAGTTTTATTTACATAAATATTTAATTATAAAACCAGTCAAAACCAAAATATTTTAAGACAAAAAGTAAAAGGTTTATCCAACTTTTATAATTAAGTTTAATACATTTTTCAAAGCTTTATAACCTCCACTAAGAGGTCGCTTTTTAATAATACAGTTAGGGAGACTTACGCGCTACGTCTTTGGGTAACTTTGCCAGAAATTATTTGGCTAATGGGTGAAGGTTAACGATATTGTTATTTAGGGGAATTCGGGGAAAAAATATAGATTGTTGTTTCTTAGTAGATAGAACCAATGTCTTCGAACCAGTATTATGAAAAAAAGTATTATTGTTTAATCATGATATTGATGTATGGTCGAGGTGGCTACCCTTCTTTCCTTATTTATCTATTGGCTTATGTGGACGATATAAGAAAGAGGATTAAATACAAAATATACTTGAGGGATGATTTTGCTTGACCAGAATTTGGTCATGTGGTGATGAAATTTGTCGAAAAAAGTGTCTCTGTCAACTTTAATATAGATATTTGTGTTATTTAAAAAAAATAACAGTCCCAATTTGACAATTGATAAACAGAAACATATTGGTTGTGATATGCTCTCAGGCGTACGTTGAAGTGAAAATCGTATGAAAATCCGTTCTTTGATTATCGACGTAAACACCAGACGAGGCAGTCTTTGTTTGACATAAATTACACAAAGCTCTTACAAAGGGAAGTTACATAATAAGAATAAATAATTCTTATTTTTTATTTCCGTTTCCATAATATTATTACAATTTGAAATCTGATTGAAACAATGTTTACATTAAATTTTAATCACTTTTGTGTCCATAAAACTTTTGAACGAAAATGACGTGTACCGTGAAACCTCTTTATGGTAACCTTTGTAAAAGTTTTTTTTTAATTTCCGCGTAGGGGGCGCTTGCGCGGCTCCGCCTTTCGCCCGCCCTAATGCTGGATATAAGGGCCGGATACAGCACTTTTACCGCTAGAACTTGTTGCACTTTCGAGCTTTGCCACTTTGGTCTTACGTCGCGTCGGTCGAAAAACTCGAGGTAAGTGGAAGCTTAAGATAATATCTCATATTGTCTCAGTTAATTTATTTTCTACTCGTCATCTTCTTAACTTAAATTTTAAACTACTTGAAATATATGTAAAAAATTGCCTTCCTTTATAAATAATACATGACCGTTTATAGAAATAATAATATATCTTAAAAAATCGGTATGACTTAATGAAAATATATTTTATGAACTTTAAGCTCGGATATTGTATAGTTAACAAATTAAACTATTTTTAACAATTATTGACAACAACATAAATTCGTACACAATATTTATCGAATATTACGTAACCGATAAACCGTCTCCGTTTTGATACAAAATTCAACCATCTTATTCAATCATTCAATCGAATATAAATCCAATTTACGAAATGTTCAGACTCAGGAATCATAAATGGGGAAATATATTTCAGATACACATCGTATTATTAACTATTCGAATTTAGAATTATACACATATTGTTTAAAAACTCGAAAAAACTTAGCCTGCCCTTTAAGCAAACGATTTGTAGTTTAAAAATATTGCCACGATTAAAACCTTATTTTACGTCCGGAAATAGTCCCGGTAGTACGCTTGGGGCAAAATTTACAAATGTTTGAACACATTTAATTAGACTTCGAAATAATTTGATTTTTCAATCTTATGAGTTTATCTTTCCGTCATGACATATATTTTCAATTCAATTATATTTGTATAATGAGTGTATTGCTTTGT